AAGATTCACTCTTTGAAACGGTGTTGAGCATTCTTCAGGCCACAATTGTGTTTAATAATTGTTAATAATTGTTTTAATCCATCACTGATGCAGTTACTCTTCCTACTTTTTTTTAACACTTCTACATTTGTATGGAGGTATATTGATGACAACATATTTGAAAGAGCAAACTCTAAGTGCAAGCACACAGACTCGTAAGAGCAGAATCAGATTTGAGAATTAAATCCCCATCAGGCAGTCTGAGTCTTCGGAGTCTGCTCAGTTTCCTCCAGCTGTTGTGGCACTTGAGATTGCAAGAGGTCACGTTTGACAAGCAAGCTAAAACAGGAAACACAGCTTCAAATGTAGTCGGCCAATTGAATGGGCGTTAGCTGTAATGTGTTAAAATGGACCTGCTACATTTGATAGTAGGTTCAGAAGGTTGTTATCATCTATGCACATGGTCCATGGATGATCACTGATTAAAAAAAAAATAAAAGACAACATCGACTTCTAGTGGCCTGAGTAATTATGACACAGGGAAGTTAAGTGAAGTATGAGCAATCAATTTGAGGAAGGTCGGGGTGAGTGGATTATAACAAAGTACACAGGACTTTCCCCTCGTGGGCAACTGTCTCTATCCCTTGTACAACTCACATTGTCTTATTCAAATGAACATATTTTAACTAAACCATTATCATTTTCTTTGTTAACCCAACCGAGTAGGGTTTTTTCCCATTCACAACATTAACCACAGGTGTAAAAACTCATAGCGTTTCTTTTTCACCACGTGCGTATGTTTAGACCGTGACTAATTATTACAGTGATAGTGACACTTACAGCCATTTAATGAGCTGATTTTTCGTAGTTAACGTCAGGGAAGCAAGTCAGCATTTTTTAATATAGTGTTGCTCTGTAAGGAATGATGAATGACAATATGACTGTTTAGGACAACATGTCGTTTTTATAGTTTCTACACCTTTTCGGTTCACTGCAACATCAATCTCTGTGGATCTGACCTGTAGATAAAGTGTTGTCAGCCTGCGGCTCTGTCTGCTTGCAGCCACATTCCTTCTTCTCCAAAGCTCTTTATGGTCATTTTCTACCTGTCGAACAAAATGCCCTTTGACCTCTCCCATCATCTTAATGGGTCTGTTTTACATTAGTCACTTTGACCTGAGCAGTTTGGATTTCTGTCTCTGAGTGCATGGCATGGCTATTTATTTAGATTTGTCTTCTATTATTTATTTGGAGTTACTCTGACATAGTGAACACAATTATCGAATCTGATTTCTCAGTATTTACTGTCAAACTCACCGTTTGGATTTTGGACACAGGCACCAAATATTGCCCTTTGCCTCCATCTGGTGGTTAGAAAATGCCACTGCCCCTAGCTTTTATTTGGAAAATTAAAGGACAGATAATGGCTGACCTTACACTTCCAGGTTAAGACAATTTGTCTGCTCTCAGTCTGCCAAAAGTTAGCAGAGTGAGCAGCTCTGATCATATTGAACGTGAGAACCCCTGCTGCTGACTCTGATGGTGAAACATGATTCCTCTTGCTGCTCATTTCATGTGTTACACTCACAGTCCTGTCCTCCTGGGAACACTTGTCCAATTTAATTTCAGAGGTTGACTTCGAACTAGTTTTGTGCCCTAATTTCATCTTTTGGAATCAATATACTTCCATAGAAATGTCTAAATAAAGCTATTGAAGGAAGAGAAAAAATATATAAGATCATGAGATGTTCTTAAGTCGAAAGTCTTTTTTTTTTGCCAAGTCGAGTCTAAAGTTATCAAATGTGAGTCCATGTCATGTGACTTGAATCCACACTTCTGATCAACTTGATGATTCATGTTGCAGCGTGCAGGATGTACCAATAACCACCTGGCACAACATTTCATGTAATGTGTTTACGTCCGTTGATCATAACATTCTGTTCTTCTGTTGAAATAGAGATTTAGAAATGTCTTGGAATGAAAACAGTAATGAACTCAAAACTATGAATCCATGCTGTTATCTCATGTGTGGTCAGAAGAACAGATTGGAAAGTATCAAGAGTGCTGCAAAACTATCAATCCTGCATGTTTGGTTTTATTCTACAGAGTATTCAGACATTGAAGTTGGAAATTAAAATGTTATGTCCTTATAATGTACAATAAGTCGATAGACGTAACTATTGTGACAGGCCTGCAATTAATTGGTTAGCATTTACATTTTCACTCACATTCTAACACTCATATCATGTTGTCACCTGATGCAAAGTAAGGTAGTGAGTAACTTAGCTGATTCCCCAAATTTCAGCTGATCAGGAAGAAGCCTGAGAAACACTTCCTAGCTCAAATAAAAACCTCACAGGTGCCTTCACAGTAAAAAAAATAACAATTAAAAAAAGCCTCTTGAACAAAAAACACATTTCAACTGAAACCTGCCCTGATGCAGTTAACCTAGTGGAAACGGTTTTTCTTTCATGTGAATGCTCAAAGACATCGTCAGTAATACAAGTAACACAATCCATCTTGAAGTGTTGAATAAGTGGAGAAACATGTGGTGTGTGTTGTCTTCCAATTATTTAAAAAGGCGCGTTCACACTGGAGTACTTTTACCCCGTACTTTTCCCGTTTAGTTCCGTTAGTACCCCTGATGTCGCGTTCACACCAAAAATAAAACCACGCCCCGTAAAACTCTGAAAAGTTTTGTGAAGCCGCCATTGTATTTGTGGCAAGGCCGTAACCATGGAGTATACATTGGGGGGGACCACAAATTCAATCAAAATTTGAATACTAATTTCCTGCCATTCTAAAGGAAAATATATAAAAATTCACTAACACATGGGATACTTTAAAACCTGTTAAACCCCATGCCTCCGCCCGTGGGGGCAAAAAACAACAATATTCACAAAACTGTGTCTCAGGCATGGACGTAGGAAGCATCCTCAATGTGGTTGGGACAATTTGACGGGGGGTGTGGGCAGGTGGTGGACCTAACCTCCTCTGGGGGGGTCCGGGGGCATGCTCCCTCGGGAAGATTTTTTTTTAAATGTTGAAGTTAAAAGCATCAATCTGGTGCACTTTGAGAGCAAACTGAAGAGATCTATGGATACATCTCTCAACACCCATTTGAAACAGAACTGTAAACAGATTTACTTTTTCTTTATGCTTGGAGCATCAACGCTAACTGAAGCTGGACTCGGACGTGCGACAGCGAAATACACCCCCGGGTACAAAATAAAGGTATGCATAAACAAACAAAGGCGGAACCAATTTACATGTGAAAAAAAAATATATCATTTTGGTGAAGTTCATAATAACAGAAAATAAAGATTTTCAAGTATACAAATAGCCAAAATAAAAAAGTAATAGAATAGCAATTTTATTTTATTTTTTCTATATCAGTTAGGCTATATATTGGGGGGGACATTTTGAGTGTATCTGAATATTGGGGGGGATGTGTGTCCCCCAATGTATATGGTGAATTCGGCCCTGATTTGTGGCATTAGCATTAGCATTAGCCCCGCGCACCAACGGAGAGAGAATAACTTATGGCAACACAAAAAAAAACATGGGAGCGGTGGAGATGAGGAGGTGTCGGCGTTCTGGCGATTTACTCGGAAGGCTTCAGTAGAAGCTGCTGGGAGTCCCAGCAGCTTCTACTGAAGCCAGTCCCCAACTCCGGGGACTTCCGGCCGGGGACTTCGGGCGGCATATAGTCTACTTCCGACCCATGGGACCTTATTTCGGAAAAATTATGTATTGAAGTCAATGAGGAGAGAATCTTTCGATCCCGTTTGAATTGTGCCACGAATTACACATATGATGTTTGTCAATCTTAAATAATAATTTCCACGTCAAAAAAGTCACAGTTTGTCATAAAACTGTTGAAATATAAGACTATGAAAAATAGGCAACTAGAAAGACTACAAATCCCAGAATCCCGCATGCTGGCTCTTACGGAACCGACTAACTCCCCTTGTGTGTATGTACAGCTCTCAACATGCCCAGACTTGGAGTGATTTTCACCTCTTTTAATACTTTTCGCCTCATTCTGAAAGAAAGAAGTGAAATGTGCCAACGTGACGGCCGTCTTGGTGTGGTGCGAGACGGGAGATGTAGTTCATTGAGCGGTTTCACACACAAAAAAGTGTTACTTCACATTTTTACAACACATTTTTTTTTTTTTACTTGCAAAATTATCTTTTAAATTGACAAACATCATATGTGTGGCACAATTCAAACGGGATCGAAAGATAATCTTTCTCTCTCCATTTACTTCAATACATACTTTTTCCGAAATAAGGTCCCATGGAGGTCCCCCGGAAAGGGAGGGACTTCGCCTCTCTATACGCCGTGAAATAGTTTGCGGCCTGCCAGTAAACCCAAAGCAGAAGAAGACGAAGTGACGTCAGCGGCTCATTTGCGTAATCTTGCGTGTGAACGCGATTGGTACTTAGTGCCCTGGGGTACTAAGTGCCGGGGGACTAAGTACGGCGATCTGAATAACCTGCAATCAACTCAGAGTTGGGAGGTGTGTGGCGCAGTGGACTAGTGCGTTGGTGTTCGGATCAAGGATCAGGGGAGCACAGGTTCAAACCCCACTGCAGTCAGCATGTCGTTGTGTCCCTGAGACACTTCACCCCAAATTGCTCCTGTGGGGATTGCCCACAGTATTGAGTATGTAAGTCGCTTTGGATAAAAGCATCTAACAAGTGACATGTAATGTAATGAATGAGTCATTCAGCTGAAATCCATTGGGGATATCAAGTTGACTCAAAGTGTTCAGTTAGAAAAAGATATGAGATATCCTTTAGGTTCAGACTGCAGATGGAAATGAGCTATTACCTCAAATCTGGCATAATTCATCTCTTCTCTTTTCTGAGATGAATGTATTTGTATGCATGGTCCTTGTTGAAATAAATACATAATAATAATAATAATCACATTTGTTTCCATCCCTGTAATTGTTGTGTTAGTTCCCATTTTTTATAGGAGGAATTCCCCCCCAAAAAGACAAGACAACCTGATTGTTTATTTGTAAAATACATTTAATCCCTTTATATTTGGGCAAACCAAAGTCTACAAGAGAGAGAGGGGTTGAGATTTCAGTGGCAGAGGATCCTGAGAGTCACTTCCTGTTTTTAAAAAGGCAGCAACATGGACAGCAGGTCCTGACAAACACAGAAGTATTCAGAATACTGGACTGGTGGCTGTTGTCATGTTGTCCAATGATTTCTGGGGAGAAACTATTGAAGGTCACTATTCACCACTGGCACCGAATCTCCCCCTCTCTGCGCAGACTCCTTTGACAACGTACCAAACACTGATATCACAATACAAGAAGAAGAAAAAGGCATACATTGTCTTTCTACAGCCTTCATGATTTCATTAATACGTCAGAGCTGTAAATATTACAAGACACTTTTACTGTTTCTTGGTTTAAGTATGAGATGTTAACAAGGTTTTACTTGGTTGAGGAAAGCTGTGATAATATGGAAGGTTACACAAGATGATGTGAGTGTGTGATGGATGTGTGCAGGTGTGTGTTAGTGTCAGCGGCAGCAGGAGCTAGTGGGAACAGACCTCAGGACAGAACAGTATCCAGCTACATACCCTGCTGCACCAAATAAACAGCATGTTCACTTAAAGGTGGGGCTTTCTGATTGGCTGAACTCCAGCAGGCAGTTATGACTGATTTGTGGTTCAACACTAACATTAAAGGGATAGTTTGGATATGTTAGAAGTAGGGTTGTATGAGGTTCTTATCCTACTTCCAGTGGATGGTGGTTGGCACCCCCCATGTTTTGAGAAGCAAAACCTTTTTTAGTGCTCTAAAATGGAGGCCCCACTGAAAAAGTCAATATCAATTGAACTGGACGCTGTATTCAGCCACCAGACTCCATTGACAAAAACTGCATCTATACAACTGTATCAGTTAGTTTGTGTTCTTGTGTGACTTTGTAAACGTACCAACGTCACACAATAACAGAAATAAACTACTGAATTAAGAAACTCCCATGTTCTGAAGGCCAAAATAACCGTTTTTGTCAGTGGAGTCTGGTGTTTCCTGTTGGAATGGGCCATCTGCAGGCAAGGTCAAGAGAAATATAGCCAAACTTATTTTGATTTTAATAGGTAGGCCTTTCTTTTAAGTGGATAACAAATGTTTTGCAGCTCCACAGCAGTAGATAGCTTAGCTTCTGTACTGTAACTTTGTTCTATTCAAACTGGGCGTCTGCCAAACACCCTCCACTCTACTGACTTCTCATACAACAACACTAAACACATCCAAACTATGCCTTCAATGTCACTGACCTGCCCTATAGTACACATATTACCACTGTAAACAGCAAACAGCCAATCCAACAGCCGTGACATCAATTTGTTAGACTGACGTTACAACATGATAGTTGAATACTTCTTGGTAAGGGATTAATAACAAAGTAACAGAGTGAAGCTGGAACTATTCATCTTTTCAGGTTAAATACCCGGAGTCTCGGCTGGTTAACTTTTTTTTTTTTTTTTTTTGCTGGCAGGAATGGGCCTCCATATATATCACAGTTTGATTGATGGTGATGATAAGGGTAGTATCTGGAGAGATAGTACAATGACACAGCAGGTCACATGAGACCGGACTAGACTCAACCAGATATTTCCACCAACTTGATTTTAGTTTAAATGTGATGGGTCATAGAGGGTCAGAGAGATGATTATAACATTAAGCACGTTGCCTTCACAAATAAGTGCACAGTTGTATAAAACCTTTTAAATGTATAATTTGTAATAATTGTATCCACTTACATCAAACTAATTCCTAAAGGTGAACTAATGATTTCTCAGAGCAGCAAAAGCCTGGTGACATGTTCCTGCCTGCTAAGCATATTATACAAACGATATGCAGACTTTCATGATATTCATATGAAACCTTTTCACTACATTTGAGATGCAGGTGAGGATTTATAAGCCGAGCCGGCCAAACAAGCCAAAGTGTGTTTTGAACGTACATTACTTGATTTCATTTGATCCAATTGTATTACCCTTCCATAAATGTTTTATACAACTTAGCACTCAGGCAGTTTGGACACATGATGAGCGACAGACAGCCAAAGACAAAACACTCCACAGGTCCAACATGACAGACATCGGGTCACTTTGACTTTGGTTCCAGCTTCCAAGATGAACTGAGAATTCCTTCTTTAGTCAGTTCCTGCACACACCACACAATGTGGTCTGGTGCTGAACACACACCATCATCTGGTTCAGTCTAGAGCGAGACAAACAAGCAGAGTGCAGGAAGAATACAGGAGAAGGATCTGCTGTAATACAATTTCCATGCTGAGGCAGTCATAAGCACTGTTAATATATATATTTATATACAGTTTATACATAAAACAGTGAAAAAACATCCATAAAACCAAGAATATAAGAGCATGTTCATACGCGAGGAAGCAGTAAACAACTAATGCATCACTAAAGTATTAATGCACCAGGACTGGTGACTGGTGTGATATAATATCTACATATCAGGTTAGGGTAGCATGGGTCCAATATGCAAACCAGCATGTGTAACCGACAACAAAAGAATGGACAGTGTAATTCAAATGCTCAATGGAGGATGTGTTACGCTGTCTTCTCAAAGAGCGGACTAAATCCAGCAAGCAATATAATACGTGACGTTTCCTGCTTATAAGAGAAAAAAGGGAAAGAGCGAGGCGGAAACGCGGGGGTCCTCCCTCCTCCAGCGGGCTGCCGGCCCCTCGCTTTAATACACCGGGCTGTTTCGGATCCCGCAGCACAACACCATGCTGAAGATCATCTCGAAGATCTGGGAGGACCAGCACAAACACAAGCAGTGGTTAGATTAAATGTTTTAAATATGCTAATATATTCAATATTTTAAATATTATTGTATAATACAGGCCTTTCATTTTAACATAATGTTCACTAAGACGGGTGCTCATCCAAATTGGTGTCTGTGTCCTCGAATGAGATAATCTTGTGAATCTAAACTTGAATGTATAACAATGTCTTCTGTCTTCTTTTAGATACATTCAGGCATCAATACAATATGTTATATAACATTTTGAGGTGTGATGTGCAGCTTTCTGTTCTCACCATAATAACTGCGACCACCAGAGCGGCGATGCCGATCATGCCGATCTTATCTGTGAACAGCTCATCGATCCTCTGGTGGCAACCCTGCAGAGGAAACCATCAACACATGTCATTAAGATCTGATCATATCTGCAAGTAGAACAATTGACTGTGGCTGAGTATTTAAATACTACTCCTCAGCTCCGCACCTAACAGTGATCAGTTCAGGGCTTTATTCAGCGTCTGGCTCAAGCTCGAGGTAATACGGAAGTTGTTCACATGGGCAATAGAGCGTTCACTAAGCCACGCCCCTTCAGTAACTGTTGCTACCAATCTGTCCAATCACACACCAGACATTACAGAGTGTAAAATGACAACTGAGCCACATTTACAACTTGTAATTCCTGATCACTTTTGAAACCGAGGCAGGCTTTTCATTACTGACAACTGTGGTTAATTCTATTGTCTTGAACTGTCACAATGTGCTTTAAATGAAGGCAGCAAACTGTGTGAGACATTAGAGGGCAGCAGAGCGACACACAGTATAGAGACTCCTAGAGAAACACCAACTGCCTCAGACATCAGATCGTATGCCAAACAAATGTACACATGTGCTGTGTGCAGGCTAGGGGAGAAACGGATTACATGTAGCAGGATTACGTAATCAGAATACAGAAAAAAGTACCTGTATTCCCTCATAGTAAAATACAAAAATATATAATCATATAAAGGTTACATTTCTAAAAATGGTCTATTACTTGCAGGATTACAGATTCTGCTTTTTGGTTAGAAATGTTTGGGTTCATTTGTTCTTTTTTTTATTCAGAAGGGGAAAAGCAGGCAAATCCATGCTTTGACAGGGCGTGGCCACTTTAAAGCACGGATGCCAGTGACTTCAACCCTATCATCAGACTATTATTGTTTCAGCAATTTGACTTTATTAAAGAAAATGCACCAAAATAAATTCCCTGCTCCTTTAAAAGGTTATTGGCTAAATAGCCCGGAGAACCCCAGTTCCAGAAAACGGAACACACTACAATGCTGGCATCCTGGGAGGCTTGGATCAGACTTTGGTCATTCCAGTAATGTGCATGTGCTGCCAAGAAATCAGGTTAACCCGGGGTGCAGCACACAGTGTGAATACAGATTAAACCCCCCCCCCCCCCCCCGCAGATATATTCACAACATTATAGCAGCCCTCAGTGATTCTCTACATCACATTTTGTTGGAATTAAATGTTCTATTTATTTTTCCATCAAAAGATTGCTTTACTTCAGTGTTTCTCAACCTTTTCAGGCCCCTGACTCACGCCCCCAGGATTTGCAGAAAATGTTCCTTGTGGCCAAACGGGGGAACTACAACTTCTGTGTTGATGTGATTGGGACCAAAAAGACTTTGTGTCATTGATTTGCATTGAGAAAGAGATGTCTGTAAATTAGCATATTTTAAATCCACAAATAGCCTTTATTTGAATCATGAGCGCCTTTAAATTGTTGTGGGAGAGAAACTCCCTCTGAAGGGAACACAGGGATTTGAGCCTTTGCAGACCATTGACATGCACACAAACCACTACAGGGAAGGGAAATCCCAAACAAAGCATAAGAGGGCCTCTTTAAGCATTCCAAATATTTTATATTCAAATATTTCAGAGAAAGTCTTAATTTAAGGTCAAGACACATTATTCTGTGATGAAGTGGTATTGCGCAAACCTTCTGAATAATGCTAGATGTTGACTTGGTAGGTGTAACCTTTTGAATATTTGATATGCTTGAGATCTTTATACCAGCTACAATGTGAACACAACAGAAAGGGGCCTTAGACAGTGTGCAGGCAGGACGGAGGCACTTACAACTGGGGTTCCAGCGGCGGGGCAGAGCTTAGTCAGGCCCACGGAGTCTGTGAATTGTGTGAGGATAGACGTCGTCTTGCCTTGACCACAGCAGTTCAGCTGAAACACAGAGACACACACAGTAAGCTTCTCATTATGGTTCTATTCTTCACACTTCTCCTCAGATTTCCTATTATTAACCTGCATTTACCGGTAGTTTCCTTTTATGATCTGGTCCAACTTAAAACACGGCGAACTTAAAAAATCTTAATTTACGTATCAGAAATCTATATTTCTACATTATCTAGGAGACTTAATTATATCCTTACAAAAGAAAACATTTGAAATAACAATTTAGAAAAAGAATAGTTACACAAATCAGCTTCCCCCGCTTAGGAACTCAAAAAAAGTCACAGTTCACCCCAAAATAGTCAATTCTTATTTATTTTTGAAGTAGTTCTATTTGTAAATCTAGATTGTTCTGGTGTGAATGGGAGATATAGGACGTAGAAAAGTATTTCAAATATTATTTCAGCATATATTTTCTTTCTACAGAAACTAAACCTACCTACTGAATCACTGCGCAGAAGGACGAGTGCACAGGAGAAGTGTGTTTTAGTAATAGGTAAACCAGGGCTGCCAACATTTGAGTTCAGCTTGGAGTGAGATTTTTTTTTTGGTGAACCGAAAAAAGAAACGTCCATGTGTACAGTGTTACAAATGTATTGAACATGTACAAACTAGGGTTTCCCATTAATGTACCGGGCGCTACAGTGGAGTACGCACATACACAGTGTACCCGCGACTCTTACAATCAAGTGCTATTTTATAAGTGGGGGGGTCCTCACCTCCTCTCCGTGGGCATGCTCCCCCTGGAAGATTTTTTTTTAAATATTGAAGTTAAAAGCATCAATCTGGTGCACTTTGAGAGCAAAATGAATTTATGGATACATCTCTCAACATCCATATGAAACAGAACTGTAAACAGATTTTCTTTTTCTTTATGGATATTTTACAAATCACTCCCCTTTTAAACTGTATTCTTGTTTTACTGTCATATAGTATTTCATAACTGTTTTTCATTTATTCTCATAAATGGTGACCAAAACGTTTGAGACCCACTGAGATAACTAGACTAAACTAACTATCCTAAACACTCAGAGTCCCTTACCTCACTGAGCTGTAGTTATCTCTCTCAGTCTGACAGGACAGAGCTCTCCCTCTCCTTGTTTTAGAAACAGCTTCTAATATCCGTTAGCGCAGCTAGCTAACCATATGCTAACAACAACAATGCAAATAGTGAGTTTGGTAGAAATATACTGTATAATAGTAAAGTTATTCAAGATGATGCCACATTTATTGAAGATTTACATTATAAATATTCCCCCAAATTATTCAAAAGCATATTCTTCCAAACTCCTTGCTATAGTATGACCACCAGGAGACTATTGATGTGTGTGGTGAGTTTGGTAGTAATAAGCTGTATAATAGTGAATATTATTTAATTCTCTTTTTTCGGAGTTGCACTTTGCAGACGGTCCCTGAGCACTCGTTTCTTCTCCGGCTGCGGATAGAGACCAATGTAACGTGTCCAGCTCGGAGGACGGCGCGTATTGCCTTTTTTTGATCAAAATGTGATTGTAGTTCGTTGTCCTTACCACGTTTCTTAGGAGACGTCATTTGTGTCTGAATAACGTTTTGTTCATGAGTTATTGATCCGTGAAATCCGAATCTCCCAATATCGTTCCAACTTTACTGAACTAAGCCAGAAGACCGTCTCATTTCGTAGACCGCTCGGTTTGCTGTTCCTTCACTTTATTTTTATATTTATATAAATTTATTTTGGACGAAAACTTAGCGTGAGGAAAGGCATGTGTGGCGTGAGTGCGTGAGATATGGGTTGATTGCGTGACTCTCACGCTCAATGCGTGAGGGTTGGCAGCCCTGGGTAAACTAAGAGGTCCCATTGAAATACATACTATGCTAAAACCCTGATTGTAAAGCCTAAAATGAAACGAAGACGTCTTTTGTCAAAGTACATCCTGTGTTTCAAAATGAATGAGTTATCTTCGAGTCATTTCGTTTTGTTCTTACCGTCTCGTGGAAGACCCGGAGCACAGCGTTGACGGCGTCCTTCTCCTTGTTGTCCTTCTCTGTTCCTGGTAACGCTGAGAAGGTCATGGCCTTCTCATACGCAGAGTCGTAGAAGCTGATCATCTCCGTGGCAACCTGAGACAGGAACAAAGAGGTCAGCCTGGAACTTTAAACCATGTGTTCCCTGAATTCAGTCAATTCATTTTGAGCTGATTTCAGGAAAGTCGCTAATTAGTTTGAAGGATTAATAGACACTAAAGGACACACAGTAGGATCTATGCCGTGCTACATAGAACATGTTTTAAGAATCATTTCACCGTCTTTTCACTTCACATTTTCTGTTAAACTAAAAGAAGTTCTTCAGTGATATTATTAGTTTTACGATGTTTTTCTACCTTTAAACCTGGCAATTCAGGCCTAAATCAGAACACCTTTATTCGTCCCACAGAGTGGACATTTGCAATACTAATAAACCAGAATAACTTAGTAATTTGTTTCATAATATTTAACTCTTTCATTATACACCTGCAATTGAACTGTATTTGAGCCTCAATGTAGCATGCATATGTGAACCTCCCGTCTTACAGTGTCTTTGTTCATGAAGCCCCAGATTCCAGCAGCAACCTCGCAGGCGAACAGGATGATGAGGCAGGCGAAGAACTGCAGGACAGAAACATCTCATTACTCCTTCAACAAGTCAGATAACAAAGGTTTTGACTTTTTAAATAGACAATATGATTTACAAAGGTAATGGAGATTTCTCTCGAAAAATTCTGCTATATGAATTAAGAATCACTGTTACTCTTTTGAGTGTATTTCAAATCCAGTGTTCTTTACATCCATGTTTACTAACAAGTAAATGACCCCAGATAATCAGTGGAGCAGTGTACTCGTGCATGTTCCTTCAAAAATTAAACTCACAATTTCATTTGATTATTGTGAAAAAAACATTTGTATCAATAGAAAATGAGAATAAAAAAACATTAAATAATGTGTGAAAAGTATCTTCACAGCTTGAAGTTGGTTTTGGTTATTTTTGGGCCACTAATTACAACTAATTAAAACCTTCACATGTGACTCACCGTTCCCAGCAGACACTGGGACTCCTGGATGGCGCCATAGCAACCGAGGAAGCCGACCACCATCATCACTGCGCCGACTGCAATCAGGATGTGTACACCTGGACAGACACAGAGACAGAGAGGAATGATTCATATCCATGGCAACAACCATACATTAACAGGTATAATTATATATATTAGATTTAACTTAAAAAAAAAAAACATAGGATGGTTAAAAGAGTTAAAAAAGATTTTACTTTTTAAAATCTCATTTAATATGAGAATTAATTAAATCATTTTTTAACTAAGAAAAAGCTTGCCTTTTATTTTCCATTTTGTGAGAATTGTTTGAGATTGTTTTTTTAATCTAATTTTTTAATAATTGTTTTCTTTTGTTTATCAATCTTTATAGGATTTTCTTTTTATCAATGTAGGTTGCTAGGCCTGCAGACATAAATCTGTTTGTGTTAATCAGGATGAATTCATTTGATTTTTTATATTGCTCAGTTTAAGCGTGATTTCAATGTTGATACTTTTTAAAAAGTGTGCAGGCAGGATGACTGCAGGGATACCATTATACTTGACACTCGTTCTGCTTCTTAGAGAAAAACAAGTGATTGCAAAGAGCTATTACAAGAATGTAAAAAGAGGAAGGCTTCACTGTGGCTTTGACCACCTCCTGTTAATTCCTGCCAGCCTGCAATGACGCCTGATGGACAGCAGAAGGCACACTCTTGTTTCTATGCCAGTAGAATAAAGTGAGTCATTTTCACAGGAAGTTGTTTCTTGTTTCTCGCCTGCTCCACAATGCTCAACATTATTTTTCATTCAGGACATAAAACAGGTGCTGCCCCCCGTCTAGCTGATGTGTTTTGGTTCTTGGTTTTAGTCCTATTCATATAAATGATTGCTCAACACTATCTTTTGTTTCAGATTGCTTAATGTGTGTTTCCACACAGTAGTGAAGTTTCCAATTTACTGCAACAAAAATCTACATTCAGGGACTCATTTTGAGTGAGGTCATTTATTACAGTAGCGATTGCATCTGGTTTGAACTGTGTGCTTTTGGAAGTGCTGACACATTTGAGAAGCCGACTGCTAATCTGTGTTGTTTATGTGCTGAATAAAGCAAAGTTACAAGGTAGCCACGCCCTAAAATATACTGTTTACAAAATGACCACCAGACTATATTGAAAAATATTTGAAACTAGCAATTGAGAACAGAAACTCGTCAGGAAATGTTTACTCAGGTATTAAAACAACTGAAAAAAAGGGTGATTTTCTCATAGACTTCTATACAATCATACTTATTTTAACAAACCCCCTTGCACCGCCCTCTATTGACTAAAAATCCTGCTGCCAGAATAGCAAACGAAACCAAAAACATTACCTTTATAACTAAAATTGTTATAAAGAATTATTACATAATAACTAGCTGAGTGAATCATTATTTCAACATTTATATAAATTACACTTTTTGCATATGATAATTTAATTTAATTTAATTAATATTGAGCTCTGTGGGGCTCCATAAATAACACAATCCCGCCTTGATTGTATCCCGCTAAATTATATTTCAGCGTACTTGATATTGATGCCAGTGAGCGCTGTGGCATACAGTGCTTATTGTTCTGCTGCGAGGCTGGGAGTGCAGCTCTCTGTGTTTGGGCCCCAGCATCATTACTCCTGCTTGTCAGTTCAGACTTAGGCCCCGTCTACACGGAGACGAAACGTGTTGAATCCGCTAACGTTCTCTATCGTATAGACGGTTCGTCCACACGAGGCCGACACGGAAACGCGGATTCGGAGCCCGATCCGATCGCCCTGTGATAACGGCTCCCAAGGTGGGTAGATGCGGACGAAGCGCTCTGGGGGGGGCCAAACGGCTCTGTGTGCACGCCCTATACGATCATTTCCTGATAACGATGACGCCATAGCCCCTCCTCTCCCCACCTCTCCTGCTCACCCCCGCGTCATTGCTGATGTGTTTCGCCAACAACAACAACAATGGCGGATCACAGGGTTGCTTTCGTGCTCCAGACGCTACTGACCATGCTACAGATGTTAGTACAACATCTACAGCTCCTCTACCACAACCATCAGCAACAAGTGGACATGGAGAATTACATGTTGATCAAATATAGTAATTTAGCTGCTAAATCCACCGCGGAGAATGACCAGAAGGGCAACCAGGTAGCCATTGCAACCATGCTCGGGGGGTCTTATTCGCTGCTTTTGTGGCGGAAGTACAGCGCCACTTACAGGCCCGGCATATGTACTACAGCGTCTCCAGCGGGTCGAGCGGTCTCGTGTGGACGGACACGTTTCTTGTGCCGATTCCGTGTGGACGGAAGAATTTTTTGATATCGACCTCGGTTTGTTTTCGTCTCCGTGTGGACGGGGCCTTAATTCGATTGTGGACCACTAACTGGTCCTGTACTTCACATGCCCCATCCCCCACCTCTCCTCTGGCCACAGAGACACTCACGCACACACTAATGCTAATTTGTAAATCGATATCTTGGAAACTGACCAAGTGCTCCCTCCATCTCCTATATTGTGGCTCTTTAGCCCGACACAGTCCCTCCATCCCTGCCTTCACGATGCTGTTAGGCTTCTCAATCTCTCCCTCTCTTGCCACCACCCATCTGTCCTTTCCATTTAATGCATTTTCCCCATTCCATTTACTTAAATGTCTTTTCCTGTCTGTCTTGATCTAATCTTCTCATGGATCCTCTTCCATTTTGCTCTCTCACCAGGCATTCTGCATCTGCATTGAATGGTCCGAAGAGGAGCTAATGGATTACATGACTCGAGATGAAATAATGTCAAGGCTATACATAACTAAATAAAAAACAGTCTACTCGCAAGTATTTAATAGAAACGTTACCAAAATGTGGAATGAGATTTAAAGTGTCCATAGAGGGGTGCAGTGATGATGTATTTTTGTAGGACGCATGGAAGTTGGCATCACGGGGCCTAAAACCAAAAGCACTGGGATTTGAGAGTATTGCCGAAAATAAGCTCTGGAGCAACCGCTGTTTGACAGAAGACAGAAGCTTCAGATAATCACCAGTGGGGTTACTGATGTATTTTATGTCGTAGAATAAAACATTCTAGACAAATCTCTTAAGATTGTGTTAACTACAGACCTTATTTCAGGCATCTAACCAAAAACCTATTTTCAAAACAATGAATTCATGATAAGGGAACTGGATGTGGTAAATGGATTTAAATTAAGATGAAACTCATTTCAGGCTTTAAGGACTCATTCCTCCCACACTCATGCTACTCAAGGTGTCAATATGCTTCATCAAAAGTGCTTGTCAGACAGTTCAACAGCATAACAAGAAGTCATTAACTCTATATAAATAATAAAATATATTATATAACTTAAATCTCTATTCCTTTCTCTATTAGTATGTTTAGCTATATGAATATATATTTATAAAGACACACCTATTTGTGTTTTATAATGAGCACAAACATTAAGTAAATATTTCCATCTATGTTCTTGAAATTTGTGTTTGTTCATCCGCTCACTGCCGCAAACAACATGTAGTTCAGGTGGGGTTTCCCTAAGGTGATGGAGCTAATATTATAATATCTATCATATTTTATCCAGATGCATTTAGTTGAAGTCATCCGACTATTGTTTATTATACAATGAAAGCCTTTTTCCATTCCCCTGTTATATTTTGGTAAATGATTGTGAATGCTGCGATCAGCCATGTAAGGACATCTTCAGATTTCAGTGGAAAAGACCTTTGAGGTGGAATTTCATTGAGGGCACTGTAAGACAGACAGCATGTCATCACTGCAGACTAAACCGTCAACGCTGCACACAATGACTGTGTTTTATGAAGTATACAAATCAGAGCATAAAAAGTTGTAATCTGCTTCAAGTTTTTGATTTTTTCTTTTGCTAATTGGTACAAAGCCTTATTGTTTCGGAACAATGAATATCATGCCTTGGCTCACTGACATCTTGAAGTCGTTGTCCAAAACAATGGCTGTTTCACTTCTCTAAGAGTTTGATAATGGATTGGATAGATGTTAAAAAATGTGGCTAAAGCATATAAAGTTTGTGTGAGATTGATGAATTCCACCTTTTGAGTTACATGTTGGTCTGGTATGCTCACACAGTGTGCTCATTAAGAGAATAAGTGTTACGCTGTCATGTGATATTAGTTTGATTCTTTCTGGCTCCTTAAAGCAGAACCAATCAATCATTCTTATTAACAGTAAATGAATGTGTAATCTGAAACGGTTTGTAGCTATGTAATATCTACAGATGCTTCAGCCTTTTGCCTAAACTGTTGATTTTGTGTACAATTTATCTTGGAATTACCTGATTAATTATCTGAGAAAGAAAAAAAGGCACGTGGCTCTATAGGTTTTATTTCTGTTACAGGCAGACATTTTTATATTTGTGTATATATATGTTATTTTTGAACTCACTCAGAATTGACAAAAAAAGTGAAAAACGTATTTAAGTGTTAATGTACTCCGTAAGTCAAGTCTTAATAATTACGTTTTGTCTTAGGTATTTCTTTGTGGATTTACATTTTGCGATCAGTTGATACAACTATTTAAAAAATAACAATTAACTCTGCTTTTATGCCATACTTTGCCATATCCCCATTTCTGGTGCACTGCGGATTGGAGCAAATCCTGAAAAAAGGGAACCATTTGTACTAAATCCAGAATTGATTTTGAATAATGACCCAAAGAATAAAAATCAAAACCGAAGATTAGATACCGAAAGCCTCTCACCCCTACTCAGCAGGCAGCTGATAAACATGTGGAGCACTACTCTGAAAGATTGACCAGTTGGACACGTTTCAGGTTTCAATCCCTTCCTGGACAAGTCTATTAGTTTCCAAAAAAAGCCTGCCTCTCTGTAAAGAGGGGATTCTCCTGTGACTATGCTTCTATTTTTGTGGGGTGGTGCTGCAAACCACTGGTTGTGTGTAAAGTCCCTATGCTATGTGAGAAATACCTTGGTGTGTCATGTTGGTTTCATGTTAACTCTTCTGGGAATACTCACTGTGACAGTGACAGCAAATGCATGAGCAAGTCAATGACTATGCATGTTTCTGCTGAGCAGGAAAGTGAG